AAATAAATAAATAAATAAATAAATAAATAAATAAATAAATAAATAAATAAAACAGGTTAATTGGAGTGAAGACTGTTTTATTCTTACCTTTAAAGTCCGAAAAGTGCACTTAAGGAAAACTTGATAATGCAGACAGCAATATATAGAATATGAATTTTTTTTATTTTATTTTATTTTTTTATGCTTTATTAATTCAATGCCACAAGAACATGAGGTATTACATATTCACATGATCAAATTAACATTATTAGCTGCCAGAGAAAAAAAAGAAAAAAAAGGGAAGAAAATTACATAAAGTTCAATGCTTTCAGAGCATTACATGTTTTCAGTGCTTTTTTGTTTTTTGTTTGTTCTAAGAGATTTACATATAATTTAAAGTCATTTATAAAATGTGCAAAATTTGGTTTACATTGAGCCCACTTCTTCTTATGTATATGGAATTTTCCTAACAAAATAAACAAATGTATAATATGTTGTTCTATAGAATTCCAAATCCTTCCAAAATAATCTCGAGTAAATACAATGAAAAAAAATATGCAAAATAGTTTCTTTTTCTTGACCACAAAATTCACAGGTATACGAAATATTAAGCTTAAATCTTTCCAAAACATGCTTAGCAGGATAAATTCGATGAAGTATTTTGTAAGACACTTCCTTAATTTTGTTATTGATACAAAACTTATTTGGCAGTTTCCATGCTTTAACCCAAGAGATATTACCAAATAAAGAAGACCAAAAAAATCTTGCTGCAGGTAGGGACACAGAACAAAGAGCATTCCTTATAATCTTATTGCTACACTGTTGTTTTAAAACGTTGACATTTTCAATGAAAATGTTACCACAAGGATTAACCATGCTGATTTCTTCTGAGATGCAGTTTTTTAAAAGTAACATCACACTCTTTGGAATTGCGTCAAAAACAATAGCAAATTCTCTTGGTTTAACTGGTAATTGGAATTTCTGAAGAAATTCAGTATACGACAACAAGTACCCATGGGAATTAACTAACTGTCTTACTAAAAGAATACCTTCCTTGAACCAATATGATAGAATAAAGATTTGTTTTTAAATAATATGTCCTTGTTATTCCATATGAAATAGTTGTGGGGTGAAAAATTGTGCTTATACATCAATTTCCATGCTAGCAGGGCTTGTCTGTGAAAACCGGCCAATTTAACAGGAATTTTATCAACAGAAAAATTACATTTCAACAAAAAGTCTATGCCTCCAAGAGTATTAAATATATAATTAGGAAATACATTCCAAGGACTTTCTCTATTCTTCATAAACTCTATCAACCATTTAATTTTAAAAGTGTCATTGAGAGTATTATAATCTAAGACCTCCAGTCCCCCTTGCTCTTTAGGATTACAAATTACCTCCTTTTTTAAATAATGTGGTTTTTTTCTCCAAATAAAGTTATAAAGAATCTGATCTAGATCTTTAATAATCTTGGGAGGCACATCTAACGATAATGATGTGTAGACAGATCTAGATATACCTTCCGCCTTTGACAATAATACCCTCCCAAATATTGAGATGTCCCTCATTAACCAAGTTCAAAATAGTTCAACTTTTGCCGCTGCGCTCTGTGACGTTTACCCGCGCGGCCAATAGAAACGGGGCAAATGAAGCTCCTTCACAAGCCTTCGCCCTGAGAGTTTCATGCACCCACAGCCTCTTCTTCCTTGCTGCTCTCTTTCTTCTTCTTACTAGCAGGGCTAGTGCTATCGCTCGCTTCTTAGCACGGGACAGATACATATTTTGCTGCTGACCAAAAAGTTGGAACAACAAATGACAAGACTTATAGAACTCCCGCTAAAAGTTTTGAAAACTCCGCCTACTTTGCTCTGGCCAGTTTAGCGCAAATTGCTTTGTATCTGAAGGGCTGCGCTGAACCCAGCGACCAGCGCAGCGCTTTCCGCGTCCTGTGTGAAAGGCCCATAACGCGTTATTGGTTTCACGCTTCGGGCACACCCCTAACCCCACCCGCTATATAACTATATATATATTAGTGCTGTCAAACGATTAACCGCGATTAATCGCATCCAAAATAAAAGTTTTTGTTTACATAATATATGCATGTGTACTGTTTATATTTATTATGAATATATAAATACACACACATACAGTGTATATTTTGAAAATATTTAAATGTATATACATTTCTATATTTATATTCTTATATTTTATATTATATATAAATATACTTAATAAATAAACATAATATATTTTTCTTAAATATATACATGCATTTCAGCATTTTTTTTCTACATTTAAATAATACAATCTTTCACAGACATGTTTAAACACAATAAATATAAGCAACACATTATTCAATGCATTTTAATTTTGCATTTACTTTTAGATTTATATATTAAGTTGCTAAACATTTAAACTACTTTTCTTACGTTATCACAAACTTACCACTGACAGAAATAGTCAGCTCTACTGCCTTTCCTTTTGCATTGAAATCTTTATTACAAGCAATCCTGCCGTTCATAAAGAACTTTGTTTTCCTACCTCCACAAGTGTCATCTATTATTGCCTTGTTGCCACTAAAAGTGCTCTTTTCCTTTAAAACTAGCCAAAAAGCCATGTGTTGACTGCGAAACACAGTAGACTTTAATTATATGCATTTATGGTGTAATTACTACATTTTCGTGTCAATCCATGTTCATATTTACTGCAAAAAATGCACTGTTACTTTAATTCAGCGCTTGCAGCGCATCAAACATAGACTCTCGGTGTGAAAACGATCTCTGCACTGCTGCAGACACACCGCTCCTGAACGCACTGCCG